TGATTTTATGTTGTTTGTTCCTCTTTTTTGTTTGTGCTGATATTGTGATTATTATTTTTTTGGTTGTTTCTTTTTAAGGTTGGCTTTTATGGGAATTATTGATTGTCTGGCATAAGAAGTTAACAAATGTAAGTGGTGGTGGAGACTACAACAGAGCTAAAAGATGCCCATAGTATTATGGTTTCACAGTAAAGGCACAGTAGAGGAGGGAGTGTCTGTGTGGCACAGAAGCAGGCATCAGAGCAAAAAAGAGCAGACCACAAACACACAGCCAACTGCATCATACCCGGGACAACAGCAGTTTGCCACCTGGCACCGAAGGCTTCGAATCATGCAAAGCACCACAGAGAGAGAATGCCAAAGTTGGGCTGCCTCCATCAAACAGGTCCGGTCACTACTCACATTACCTCCAGAGGCCTACAGAATGCATTGCTCTAGAAAGAGTAGCAACCTGTTGCAACTGAAGAACTCATTTGTTAAAAATCATCACTTACTGTTGGAATGGAAAGTCATCTATAGAATTGTCCTTTTCATTCACTATTCCAACAATATCTTGGAGCTAAAATTCGCTCTTTAAAAGCACGCCCTTAACTCATTACTTCAGTCATTCAAGTAAACCCCCGCCAATAAATCATCTAAAGCTTCAATTGATGGTTCCTCTGATTAGAGCGTACAATCCTAATTATAGCACTAAACAAACATGATGTCCCTTTCCTGTTAACATTGCTGCCTTGGCCACCAGCAAAATACACACAGCCTCCCACAAATGCTTTTTGAGTGCAAGTTTAGGATTATTGGTTTTTTTTGGGGGGGGGGTTGCTATTTGCTATGTAGGGTTATTGGTTTGTTTTTATTTATTTTATTTTTTGTCACTGGAGGACATCTCTTTCTGAGGACATCAGTAACTAGCTGGAAGGATACCTCTTTCACTCTTTTAAGGATAAATGGCTTCACATTCCAGGGTTTGGGCAGAAGGCAACTACTGAATCTAAGTATTCAATTATTTTACTTCCTTTATGCCCCACCTTACTCCCCAATGGGAACCCAGAGCAGCTTACATTGGGCTCCTCTCTTCAACTTCATCTTTACAACAACCCAGTGAGGTAGGCTTCTCTGAGACTGTGTGACTGGCCAAAGTCATCCAGCAAGCTTCTGTGGAAGAGTGCCCCATATCCTAGACTGACCCTTTAACCACTACGCTATACTGGATGTAGATGTGTGTCTGGTCAGAGCCTGGATAGGAGACCTAGCAACTAGCTTAGCATAACTTGTGAATAAGCTCTTGATCAGAATTGAATTTTACATAATTACATTTCAGTCGTAAACTCCATGTCGCTTAATCTGTTGTGGGTTTTTTTACACTTATCCTCCCATATAACATCTCCACATAGTGAAGATCCACTCATTGCATCTGAAGAAGTGACCATGAAAGTGGCCACAAGCAGTGTTCCCTCTAAGCTGAGTTAGTGTGAGCTAGCTCACAGTTTTTTAGCCTCCGGCTCACACATTCTTGTCTTAGCTCAGGAAGGATGGCTCCAGAGCAAACTAATATATGCAGTAGCCAAATTGCTCGCTTGCTTCCATTCTTTTACACTACCTATCCCTACACCAGCCACACCTTTCCCCTTCAGAGTAGCAGCCTCTCCTTTTATACGTTTCCTTTGTTTCCTACCCTATTTCCTTCCTCCTTTCTCCCCTTCCTTAAATATGTACCAGATCTTCCATTCTTAGTGGTTTTCTCTTCCTCCCTTTCAGCTTTTCTAAAATCTTCTGCATTCATGTTTCATCTCCTAAAAGATCTTCCATCGAGGGGGGGAAAAACTTTACTATCCTGGCTGGAATCTCTCCTCCACCTCAGAAACAACTCTCAGGGAAGAGCAGCAAATCAACTCCTCCCAATTCTGATGGTGCCTCAGGCACCGGAAGACATCGATGCAGAATCCACCTGTTTCTGTTGTCACATGGCTCAAACGTCAAAGTAGGGAGTGGCATGACCATGGGCACGCTACCTGAGAGAGCAGGTGTGTGTGTGTGTCAGGATCTTTCATTCTGCATAACCTCAAACTTTGCTTGTTTTTAAAAAACCCTTAAGATCATCTCTGTTTCTCTCCCCTGGGTAACATGACTTGACCTATATAGGTATGCTGCCCGAATGGATTCATGTTTGTTCAGAAGAAAATGCTTCAGGGTTCAATGGGGCTTACTTCCAAGTCAATGAGTGTAGGACTGGCAGCTTGTTGTGTAGGAGCCACAGAAAAATAGATGCACAAGTGGGATTCTGTTGTAGACCAGGCTTCTTGTATTCAGCGAAAGGGACAGGTCTATTTTACATTTCAGATGTCTGCAAGAGATGCCTGAAAGAAGTAATGAGCTTTAGATTGTGGACAGCTGGGTCTCAGGTGGAGTTCAATGCATCAAAGTAATCATGTTTCAGACAGAGAACTGTGCAGATCGGATTTCCTTGTTATTCTGGAAGCTTTAGCTAAGAACAACTGCTCCTAGAAGACAATGGACAAATCCAGGAATTCACAGCTCAGTAATTTCATGTCCCCCTCCCTCTCTCTCTCACACACACAAGGAAATTCAAGTTCTTTCAGGTCTTCCTGTGCTGGACAAGGTATGATTTTTAAAAAAATCCTGGAAAATGTTTCCTGGCCAGTATGAATCTCCCCGTATTACAAACAGGTGTGTGTAAGTCTCACAGATACTGTTAGGGAAGAGATGAAGAAAGCACACTTTCTAATGTATTGTTTCCATATGGTGAAGCAGGATGGGATCCTGAGAAAGAAGTGTGCAACAACCCTGTGATGTAGTCTGCTATTAATACACCACTTTGCTCAGTGAGAGTGCTGGGCTGAGGGAGCAAGTAGTTTAGGAGGAGTTGACCCAAGGTCTTCATCCTCCCCATTTCATGGAGCAGAGCTGACACCTACAGTGAGGATTTGAGGCAACTCTGCTGGCCACTGTCAACAACCCTAAATTACAATTGCGGGCTGAGTGGCACATGACAATAATTCCGTATTCCAATTTGGCCGTGGAACCTTGTTGCATGACCCTGGGCCAGTCACATGCTGTCCGCCTAACCTACCTCACAGGGTTGTGGTGAAGATAAAATGGAGGAAAAAAGACTGATGTCAGCCACTTTGGGTCCCCATTGGGGAGAAAAGCGGAGTATAAATTAACTAACTAAAGTAAACAAGTGTCTCCAGGGGGGGGGACGCCTGGGGCGGAGTTAGGAGAACACCGCTGTAGTTGTTTCTGTCTCTGGTTGTTCCGACCACCTCGTTCCAGCCAGCTCATACACGAACAATCCAGGAAAATTAGGGACGCGCGCGAGTCTCACAAGATTTTTGCCACCCTTGGCATTTTCTGCCTCAGTGGAGGGAGGCATCGGGCCATTGCCACCGCGTCCCGTCCCGAAAGCTGAATCGTCAATAAACTGTCCCGCTGGTGCCACCGCAGGGCGCGTCTTGTTCTCGCAGCCGTCCACCGACCAGGCTCCTTCGCGGGCTCCCTCCCCTCCCCAGAACGCCGGCCGGGGGCGTGTGCGCGTCTTCCGGTAGGCAACAGTGCCCTCCTCCCTAACTTGGTATGTGCGGTGCACGTGATCAAAACCAATCTGGGGAAAAAGAATGAGACGGCAGGTCACGCCTCTGCTGAAAAGTTTTAATTCTGGGAAAGATTATTTGGAGGAGCTCAACAGGAAGGAGCCCTGTAAGAGTTTAAAAAACCGGACTCGAGACAAAAAGAGGTTTAAAAAGCTAAAGACTGGTTTGTTGCAGCATTAGTTTGTGCTACAATAAATCTGCCAGTATTTAAAATAGCGGCCCCAAAGAAAACTTTTCTTTCTTTCTTTCTTCCTTCCTTTCTTCCTTTCTTCCCTTTCTTTCTTTCTCTCTTTCAGAGAATCGTACCTAAGACTAGTCCATAAGATTGTGATAAAATTCGCTCATTTGAGCATCCTCTCAGGGGACATACAAAGCTATCATATGTGTATTTGTAGGGAAGTACACACACACACACACCATTGATTTTAATAGGATTAATCCCCCAGTAAACACAGACATGCGCATGACAGGCACCTTGATATATAGCAAAATTTAAAATCAAAACCCCTTTTTTTGAGACCCATTAAAATAACACAAAACATTGTGTAAGCTTTAAAGTTCTCCAGAAGTCTCCACCGAACTGGAGGTTTGAGGGTGTTTTTTCATTTTGTTTTAATGACCACCATCTCCATAAACTTTCCTTGGTCTCAATAAAAGGCACTACCAGCCTTTTGTTTTTGGAGTCCTGAGTTAAGTGCGCATAATGCCGAGAGTAGTAAAAGTAAAAGTGTGTTGAGTTTTCCTCTTTCCTAACATGGTTGCGGGTTGATTCAGGCGTGTTGGTCTGAAGCAACAGAACAAAGTTTGAGTCCAGTGGCAGATGCCAACAAAGTTTAATTCTGGGGTATAAGCTTTCATGTTCAGGCACATTCCCTCAAATACATTTAATAAGACTCAACCATTACACTCTTCCACATTGCCATTTTTGTCACTCATCTGTCCCTATTGCTTTGGGTCTTCCCCCACATGTGTTTTGCTCCCTCTGGGACCCTGAAGCAATAGGAACACACAAGTGATGAAAATCAGAATGAGGAAGAGAGCAGAGAGGGGGGGGGGTGCCTGGAAGGGCTAATTAGAGTCAAGATGCATAAGTAACTGAGCAATAAGTATAAAATTTGATTAAAGCGGTTGGTTTCCAATGAAGAAGGACAAGAGACAGCCGCAGTGTTTTGGAGTTGCTCCGATTTAACTAACACGCACGAACCGAGGCGTTGCCGAGGTGGTGAGCGAAAGGAAACCGAAGGTCTCTGTCTGCACTGAACCCCATCACAGAGTCCGGGCCAGACTTTCCGGACTGCACGGGCTGCTTTCCTGGAATAGGTGGGCGGAGTCTTCTGGGGTTGAGCCCTCGCCTCCCCCTCTCCCCATTCCTTTCTCCCGTATCAGGGCGGATCAGGGTTGGTCATAGTTTGTCGCTTCTTCCCGGGGTGATCTAGGCGTTTAGTCATCGTTGCCGCCGCGCCTGTGACTATTGCGCGAGATTGTGGGTGACTTTTTTTTAAATGCAATTTTGCTTCTGTGCCTCTCTCTTTAGTTAGAGTAGAGGGTTTCCAAGCAGGAGAAACAGTCGATCTGGTTTGGCTTCCTCTGCACTGGATTGTTTGGTGTTCTTTGAAGTCTGCGGCAAGCGTCTCCCAAAGGGAAACTTGTGTTGGATATCAAATCCGTTGAGCCCGCAGAGCCAGACGGAAATCTCTGGAACCGCTTCGATCAGAACCGAAGGGGAGATCGGTGGAAGCGGGAGACAGACAGCTAAAGGCGGAAAAATAGGCTCAGGGAAGGAATGCCTGGAGAGAGACGCTTGGTGACGGAAGGGAAGGCTGGTTGCAACTGCAGGGGAAGTCGGTAAATGGAGAAGTTGGGGGTCGGAGCAGAGGGGAGGCCTGGAGGCGGTAGAGTTGGAAGGGGAGGTGGAGAGTCCGGGGCAGAGGCGAGCCTGGCGGAAGGGAGAGAAAGCGAGCTGAGGCGGGGCCGCTTGGAGAGCCAAACTCTTGGGATGTGATGCAAAGCCGGAGTTGCGAGGAAGGGGCGCGCAGACGGATCGGGGCGCGCTCGCTCTCTGTCTTCAGGGGATCCCAAGAAACGGGTCCAGGATCAGAGAGAATCCCGCCTGCTCCCGGATTGTCTGGGGGCTCGTTGAGTGGGTCAAGGGACGAGGCTTCGCTGCCGTTGGAGAGGCCGGAGGATTAGCAAGGGCACTTCGGGGGTCTGCCTGAACCGAGCCGGACTTGAGGGCTGCAGACAGCGGCGCGAGGATGAACGGCGGAGGCGGGGAGGCGAGCTCGGCGCCTTCCTCCATCAGCTGCACGCTGCCCTCCATCTCCTCCAACAAGCTCCCGGACTTGCGCTTCATCAGCCGGGGCACCTACGGCACCGTGTCTTCCGCGCGTCATGCGGACTGGAGGGTCCCCGTGGCTGTCAAGTGCCTGCAGGGGCCCCTGCTCGAGAGGTAACAGTTGGCGGGGGGGGGGGAGGCGTGGTTTCTGGAGTGAATGTGGACTTCAGTAGAAGAGGAGCTACTGTCAGCTTGACATTCTTGAGAAATCATATGTCCCATCTTCCTCGGCACTCCCCCCAAAATCTGCTTGTTTACTTCTTAGGTTTTATCTTTCCCTGTGCAACAACTTATGAAGGATGTTAGGCTGAGACATAGTGACAGGCCTAAGGTCACCCAAGAAACTTTGTGGCAGAGGGCGGGATTTGGCTCCTGGCCAGCATTCTAACCATTACAAAACACTCTCTTTTCTTCTGAAGCCAGTCTTCTGATTTCTGTCTCACTACTGTACACTTGACATGTCTTTTTAAAAAAAACATCTTCTTTTTATTTTCTTTCTATTATTGCGAAAGCTGTTGATAACCTCAGAAGTGTAAAAAGGTAAAGGTTTCCCCTGGGTCAAAAGCCCAGTCGAATCCGACTCTAGGGGGCTGTGCTCATCTCCGTTTCTAAGCTGAAGAGCCAGCGTTGTCCGAAGACGTTTCCGTGCTCATGTGGCCAGCATGACTAGATGCTGAGGCGCACAAAACACTGTTACCTTCCCACCAAAGTGGTACCTATTTATCTACTTGCAGTTTCTTGCTTTCGAGCTGCTAGGTTAGCAGGGGCTGGGGCCAGAGAGGGGAGCTCACTCCCTCATGCGGCACTAGGGCCTTGAACTGCCGAGCTACCGTGGCCCCCCCAGAAGTGTAGGAAAGATAAAAAGATCTGCAGGGCTTTCCTTTTAGGTTTGCTTAGAAGATTGTTTTCTCTCCCCCCCTTCTATATATTAGATTTTGTTCTTTTTTTAAAAAAAGAAATACTTCCTGCCCCATAGCTTTAGAAATTAAAGGTCTAAATAAGCTGTTCAACTAACAGTGTGATCTTATCCATATCTACTCAGAAGCGAGTCCTGCTTTTTATATGGAATTTATTCCAAAATAAATGCATATAGAATTGCAAGATTCAGAGTATGCCGCACAGAAATTAGTGGGACTTCTAGTCAACATTCATAGGATCAGGTTGCAATCCTAAATAATCCCAGAAGTACATCTGACTGAACTCAAAGGGGCTTACTTTTGATCAGGTGAGTTTAGGATGATGTTACACTACATATTTGTAATATGTATTTGGCATTTTGGGGTGTTTTTCTGCAAACTGTGGCACACCGTATGCACTGCTCATATTTGTAATATGTATTTGGCATTTTGGTTCGGTGTTTTTCTGCAAACTGTGTGGCACACCATATGCACTGCCTTTACTTCTTGAATTTTAAACTGCAGTCTGTTGAGGATTCCATACTTCTCAGCCATTGGCAATCAAGTTGCAAGGAATGTGGCATAGAGGAGATCTCATGGCTGCTACCCTCTGCTTTCTGCAACCCTCTGCTTTAGTAACCTTTGGAAGTGTCCTGACAATAACTGTAGCTTGAAGGCTTATTAGCCCTGCTCACCAGAAGCCATGCCTTTATCTAAACAGACGAATGAGTCCAGCAAAGTTCTGTCGCTTCTTGTTTGAGGCTATACAGAGGGATGCACACAGACCACTCTGACAAAACAAGCCATTGAGACAGCTGGAAATTTCCAGTGGCACAATCCAGCAAAAAATTAATGTTGTCTAAGGCTGGATGCACACATGCAGATAAGTAAAGTGACAAAGACCTGATGTGGTATAGCATAGTAGTTAGAGCTTTATGAGTGACGTTGGGCCAGTCACATGCCCTCAGCCTAACCTGCCTCACAGTGTCGTTGTGAGGACAAAATGGAGGACAGGAGAAGGATGTAAGTCCCTACTGGACTTCCTGCCTAAGCAGCAGACTTCCTAACCCCTTTCCCACTGAAATCCAACAACCTTCAACTCTGTCAGTTGGCCAGCAGTTAAACAGCCAACTGGCCCATAGCTATGGTGGGGCTATTGAAGGCTCCACCCCCTACTTTAAACAGACAGTCCCACAAGATTTCCCTCCACCCAGAGTACAGTCTGCCATGCCACCATGGGGGCTCAAGAAGCTGGCAGGCAGGTGGAAGAGAGGGGAGGTGAAACCTCTTGCCAGTGGAGTCTTCTCCCTGCAGCTGTCAATGGAGGACACGTTTAAAGTTTAAACCCCCTCTCTGCTCTGCTGGCTGCTGGTGGAAGAGAGGGGGCAGCTGCGTGGCCTCCATTGAAAGCTGCGGAGTGTTCTTCCTTCTAGCAAGCAGGTAGAACATTCGCCTGGCCAACAATGAGGCTGACCCGCCATCTTCCTCCCCTTGCCAGGTTTAAATTTTTAATTTAAACTAAGCCTCCCCGGCACAAGCAGTCCCCTGCTAGAACCCTGGAGCCCCCCAGGATAAAAAATTCTGGCTATGGGGCCTGGCAGCCAAACTCCTCCTTTTTTCCCATTTCAAAATTCCAGTCTACCACATGAAAGTGACTGGCTGATATTCCTGAAATTCAGAACCATCCCCCATGACCCTATCCTTTCCAGGATGTTGCTTAGGTAAGATCTATGTAAGTTTACCTGACCAGTATAAACAAAAAAGCATTACAAGTTTATTTTACAATTAGTACTACTTTTCCTATGTAAAAGCCTTGATATTATTCATTTACAATCATGTCCCTTTGTACAGATAACCACAGTTCAGTTGGTATAGTTATGTGCATTTTTCCTTTTTTTGAGACCAGCATTTAGCAAAGTCTAGGTAATGCATCTGAAACCACATTTTCATGTCCTTTAAGGGCCACAGTATTGCCAAACACACCTTCTTTTCCTTATCGGTTGTTCCCTATCAGTTAGCTTCCTGCTTAGGAACAGTATGGGATACAATTGTCCCTGTGGCCCTTCCTAACTCAGAATCACTTCGAGATCAATATTAGAAGACTCTGTAGTTACAGTGAAAGGTTTTTCAAAGGCAGGGACAATTAATACAAGCTCTGAAGATATCAGAATTTTTAAGCAATGAAAGGCTTCTTAGCATTTATCTGTCCTGTGAACCTGATTGGGCATAGCTTTTTTGGTCAGATCAATTACAGAAGCAGCAATGCTACTGTAGCCTTCTACAAACATTCCTAGGAATGATTTTATCTGCTGCTTGCTTTTAGGTATAGGCCAATTCACATTCACTTTTACTTTTGGGTTTTCAGGTTGGATGAGTCCACTTCCTACAATATGACCAAATTTTTGAATTGTTATATTCCTACCTGACATTTCCTTGGATTGATTTTCAGCACGGCCTTATCAATGCATTGCAACACCTCGGCCTATTACTCAAACACAGCTTACTACAGAGAATCCGAGCAGTTAAGCTTGACTTCAGATTCTGTGCCTGCAGTTTGCACCATTCTTTTTTCTCTGGTGTATTTATTCTGCAGCTGCAACTAGGGATGTGCATTCGGTTCATCTGAACCGAATGCATCCCCGAAAATGGTCCATTCGGACCCCTTTCGGGCTGCTGCAGGCCGATTCAGAGTCTCTGATCTCTGAATCGGCTTGCCACCGAATTGCCGCCGAATTTTTCCCCACCATAACTTTTTTTCCACCATAGAGAACAATGGAGGGGATAGAGGCAACCTGTTTGAGGGCCCGTAGAATTGGACCCCCTGGTCCGATGCCCTTGAAACTTGGTTGGTATCTTGGGGAGAGGCTCGAGCAGCTCCCCTGCAAGTCTGGAGTCTCTCCCTCAAGCCCCCTCCCCTCCAGCCCCCAGAATATACCCTATGTTTTTGCCATTGACTTCAATGGCCAATAGGATATAATGGGGCTGAAATTGACATTCGGCTGGCCGAAAGATTCCCGAATCGGCGAATCGGCTCGTACTGACAAAACTGATATGTGGGAGTCTTACTGCCAGTCGAAATTGATTCTGCCCAATTCGGCCAAATCCGAATGGGCCGAATTTTTAAAAAAAATTTGCACACCCCCAGCTGCAACCTTAAAAAATACAGTTTTCCTTAATTGGAGTGGGAGAGGGCAGCCCAGCTGAGATTACTGCAGCTCTGCACTTCCATCTCCCACCACCCAGTTTAAACCGAGTGGCAGAAGAAGGCAGCCCAGCTGGGATCGCTGTGCCTGTGGGGAGCCCATCGCTCCCTGCTGGCACAGCTCTGTGCTGCTTTTTTCCACCACCTGGTTTAAACCGAGCAGCAGGAGAGGGCAGCCCAGTCATTTCTTCTCTCCCCCCCCCCCAGCATTCTGAGGCTAGCAGTAGTCTCATATCGTCAGACTCATGCTGTTCGTACAAAAAAATTAAAATGTAAAATAACAAGGGACACACCGATGAATGGCAGAAGGTACAGAGTGGGTGTAATGACTTTGATGTGGGCATGGCCTTCAAGGGGCAGGAAACAGGCGGGGGGAAATCTGAGAGAATCTGTATGCTTTTGCATTACCTCTGGCTTGGGAGAGAAGCTAGGGGAAAACTGGCACAAAAACACTCTCAGAAAACCTGGGGAAACAGCGAACAGAAAGCGGACTGAGCGCTGAAGGGAGGAAAGACAATGCAGAATGAAAAAGAAAATCTGACGGACATGCACGGTGAAAGTGAGGTGAAACACCCACGCATAATAGGCTCTCATCAGGGTGTATTACAGGTTCTTCCTAGGTTTGCTCAATACACCCTATTATGGCCCTGACCTCTTCCCTCCCTCAAAGGCACGATTTTCCCTCCTTTTTTTTCTTAGCCTGTTCAGCTGATGCTAACCAATCAGATTCCTTGGAGTAGCCTGTCACTCAAGTCTCTCTAGCTCTGTGAAGAATTAACCCTTCACAGTCCTTTATTTGTTTGTACAGCACATCTAAGCTTCTTAAAAGTGTGGTCTGTCACATGTCCCACTAATGGTAAGGAAGGGGAGGGGAGAGAGGGGGAAGATTGATAGAGAAGGGGGGGGACAGGGAAGGAGGCAAAGGTGAGGGGATGGGATGCTCCCTCTCCACAAGTTTCTTGAGGGTCACCACTTGCAATCACTTATTAAACACAGAGGGCCTTGAGTGCATGCAT